AAATAAATATAAATATATTTATTTATTTATATTGTATAAATTAAAATGTGAAATGTAAATAAATATAAATTTATTTATTTAGACTTCACATATTTATATTTATATATACAAATATATTTGTATATTTTATACATATATTTACACTTCACATTTTAATTCTGAAATTAATTTTAACTTCAAGTTTTTATTTCATTTTATCCGATCTTAATACAAAGAACCTATGTCGAATTTTCTAAGCTGATAACATGCTTTGATCGAAAACGTTTTTGTAAATTGCATTTGGTAATATACCTGTAAATATCGCATGTCGTCTTTCCTTTTATTCGAAAAGCTGTGCAAATATTTGTGAAGTTTCATTGCAGTTTTTATCTTACTGTTTTTGTTAAGATTAAACGAATAAAACAGAATAAAATATTAACACCTTAGCCCCGTGTGTAAACATGATACAGAACAATATATAGACTATATTACGGAATGTGAATTAGAGATGGAGCTGGATAAAAAAAAGAAGAAAGAGTGACGAGATGTATCGACTCCTGAACATAAAAAGAAGGCGAGGTGGAAGAAAAAATACCATAATTTTCTATATTCTGAAAAATGGTAAAATTGCATAATAAACAAATACATTAATAATTTTTTACATCAGATGATACGTTAGAGGAACTAAAATTTTTTAAAAGTAAAAAGCAATGAATTTAATCATCAACTTTCTTATTTACTTCTTTCTTAATTCGTAAACCAAAATTTTGATACAATATTCTGTTCCGAATTTCAATTGTTTGGACCCGCAGCAACTCAAATAACTAAGCTATCTTGAAGCATGATTTATTTTCTCATTAGTATAAATACATTTCGAATCACAATATTTTAGTGATTCCTATTCAGCCTTTTATCTTAAAAATAATACAAACTTTAAAAAAATTTATGTAGATACAAGTACAATTCAGGTCAAATAATTAATATTAACTTTCTTTATTTTTACTACAGTCTATTTTTTATGCATTGATTAATATACTTAGAAATTATTTTTTATATTTAAATTTAATGAATAATAATTTATACATTATGTTTAATTATATTACAGTGTTAATCTGTCTTTTAATAATATGGAAGAATTTTCTGAAGTATTTAACTGCACAGAAGGTCCTGTAAAGAATCAAAGTGGAAAATGTAACTTGTGGAAATGAAATGTATGAAAAGATTTGATGTATTAAGTACAAGATAATTTTTAACGCTATGTTAATTGATAAAAACTATGAAGAATTTGATCTGTATCTTATTGTGGCTATTGTTTATAATAAAAATAAAATATTTAATTGTTTAAAATCATAAAATAACACACGAAATCGTCATTAGTAGATTCTAACTTTACACATTTCTACGTCATTTTTTAAATTTATTTTTAACAAATTTTACTGTTATTAATTTGGATTTTGGTCAAATATGTTAAAAGCTAGTAACATCATAATGTACTTAAATACTAAATATAAATTAATATTTAATTTTAATATTAAATGCGAATTTATACATTGTTAAGAACATTATTTTTAAAATGTCTAAGCACCCAAACAGCCTACTGCTCTGATGGATCCGAGATTGAATCCGGGCGATAAACTTAGGAGGATTTCGTGGGCGGTTCGTCTCGGCTGTGTTGGGATCCATCCCATTGTGGATTTAGACGAACTCATAATGAGTATGAATGTAACAAGGTTCTTTTAATGCTTACTGGGAAAAAATAGTTTAAAAAAAAAAATTCTGAAAATTATATGAAATCTAACAGGCCATAGGCCATGGCCATTAAAAATGTGCCAGAGTTTGTTAACATGATAAAGCGGAATGAAGCACTCGGTGCATTGTTTATTATATGTTTAAAGTTAAAATGACGAGAAATTATTTATTGTGACATCGTCACAATGCCGTACTGCAATTTCTAATAATCTTTTAATTTAAAAAATCACGTGACTTTCGGCCTAGACCGGAAGTTTGTATATAACTAATTGGGGCCTCCTATCCCTAATCTTTCCCTATCTGGTCCCGACATTAACCTATCTAACTCTGTTCTCATGATAAAGGGAAGACAGCAGACGGACGACAGTGGGAATTTATAGGTCTACAATCTTTCAAGTTGCAGCCCAACAAAGAGAAAGCTTAAAATGGAAAAACTGTTTCATTGTTTTTATTTACTTGTTAACAGGTATTATATTCTTCTCTCAGCCTTAATATTGTAGGCCTATATGTCTGTTAGAACAGAATAACAGAATATACAAAATATATTTTTCAGAATAAAAACTAAATTATGTATGAGCTAGCATAAAAAATTTAAAAGAGGAAAGAACATTATCTAAAAAAATACGTTTATTGTATATGATTTATGATTTATTATTATTGAAAAATGAATTTTATATAAATTTATTTTAAATTTTTATTTGAATAATCAGTCAAACCTCTGTATAGTGTCGCCCTGTGTAACGCAACCCATGCAAAGCCAATGAATACTCACAATTGTATTAAATAGAGAACCTTTTGATAATTGTAAACTTATTAAATGTGCGATTTTGCACTTTAAATGACACAATCATTACCAAATTACACGAAATTCAAACTAAAATTTTAAAATTGTGTGCAGCGTGCGGATTTCGTTACCATATGTAATACAGTATTGTGTATTTACTACACCCGAGTCCGCTTATAAGAGCACTTTCGGGATTGCTGCATTATGCAACTTTAAACTAAGGGCACACTTGAGAAGACGGAGAGAAAACCATTCGCATTATGTTATGGACCTGTGCTCAATAGGCGAGAGGGCAGACGGAAAGGACGAGTCGGATCCAGTTTCTCACCCAGTGGAGTGTTATAGCTTCATGAGAACCAAGAGAAATTGAATCGGGGTATCCCATATACAGCGTCGACTGGCCAGATGACCGTATGGTTGAAAAATCCCCAGGAACTTTTCGGGATGTGGTCCAACCGGATATGTTAAGCCCCGTCTCTCACCACCAGCCGTCCCACAGTGGGACCAAATCCCAAAAAGCTGGCCAAAAGTCGAAAAATAGAGTTTAAGTTCCGGTAATTTCTAGTCGTGGGTTCGGTTGGATAAGAGTCCGAAGGTCGAATTCTAGACTTTAGCGCCCCCCATCCCTTATACCTGCTATTGTAGTTTAGTTGAAAGAGGACCCTCAATCGAGCTAGAAGCGTCATGCAGTAAGCAAAGATTTCTACGCTATATTCAAGAGGGTGCCAAATCTCTAAAAATCAATGGAATTTAAATTTAAAAAATGGAATCTGCAGCTGCAAGTAAGTAGAATATCATTATGTAACACAAAATTGATAATAATACTTTATGTGATAACAGTAAACGAATGATTTGTAC